TTTATGTCTTTTTTCCAGCAAAAGACATCCGCGCGCTGGGCCTCCCCAGACCGGTCCTCCTCGAAGGCCGTGTGGAAAGAGGGCGACTTGTGGGAAGGTGGGGGGTTTTATGCGGGCAGTGGCATCACGGGAAGTCCTCTGCTACCCCCCTTCTGAAGTTGTGCTGAAAGTTGGTTAAATGCAATTTATTTTGAAAGTTCCAGAAATGTCTGTACCGGAGTTTAATGTTGAAATCCATGGCTGTAGGTCCCAACATCCCCCCTTTTAGTTCCGAAGAATGGGATGAAATCCACAGTCTTTGGGGCTAACAATCGGTCCTCAGCCATGTGAACAGAGTCACTGGGGTCCTGTAGGTAGGCAGAGTTCAACAGTTCATTTTGGTTCAGAGGTTAGTGTTTGGACAGGAGTGAGGCATTAACAACCACTATTTTGTCTCTCAAATTAAGATTCTTCAGTCTCCAAAGTTCAGTGACTGCTTTATCTAAGTTAAGATACCTGTCCAACTTAGTCTTTTGCCTCTGTTGCTGCTACACCAATGTTTACTTCCAAGATTTTAATAAATTCTTTACTAATTTTGAAAGGTAGGTCATCTGTCTCCTTATCAATGTTCCCAACTAACATTATATCTGATTTATCTTTATTGACTTTTGCCCGATGCTTTCTCAAATAGTGCAATATGATTTCTTATTCTTTCTATGAATGAATGAATGAATGAATGAATGTTTGACTAATCTTTGACTAATGTTGCTAATGGTTCTGCCGATAAACTATACAAATGGCTGAAGGTGGACAACTGTCAAACGGATCTTTCTAAAGAGAAAAGTATCAGTAAGGACTCCATTAATCTTCACACAGCTTTTTGCTTTTCCATACAAGAGTTCGATCCAATCTATTAGCCTTTGACCGAAGCCAAATCTCTCCATCTGTTTTAAATAACAATGTTTCAACCGATTAAAGGATTTGCTTAAATCAACACTTACTAACCCTTCTTTCTTATCCATGGTCATATTATTAATTGTATCCCTGATTAAGCATATAGTATTTGTTATTTCCCTTCCTGGTATACTATATGATTGTGTAGATAACACAATAGTGCCCACGAGTTCTTTCATCGTGTTAGCCAAAACTTTTGCTAAAATTTTATAATCTGCATTCAATAAGCTTATTAGTGCTAGTTTGTCAGAGAATGATTGACACTCCATATCAGACAGTGATTCAGATGAGTACTGCAGTTGGGTGCTGATTGGCTCTGGGAGCAGAACCAGCTCGGAAGATACGAGAGGTAATAGACTGCAATGTAAAGAATCAGGAACACTAGTCTCTGCTATTGGCAGAGCCATATTGCCACTTTCCTCAACAGCAAGATGTACTGGAGGTACACACGGCCAATGCATTTCTGTTCTCTCTCGAAGCTCAACTAAGTTCTTTGTTTGAAAATAAGTGCTCATCAACCCTACACCACCAAAGAACTGCCTCAGGTTTAGCTGTCCAGGCTTGTTGCTACTTCAAGATACACAGGTGGTTTTAAACAATGTTCCAAGCTCCAGTCCGAACAATTCTATCTTAGTATCATCACAGCTGTCCGGTAAAGGCCTTGGAGGTTTATTGAAAGATCATCAATAAACAAACAGCCTCGTGAAGACCAAAAGACATAGTAGGCGGGGATACTCACCACTATACTAACGAGGAGTTGGGAAAAGAGCGGCTAAGGTGGATTGTCGCCAATGCTAGATCAAGCTTCTCAAATCCTTATGCTTTGACGTGGTGATTAGATCTGGAGACCTAGCCTTTCTTCCAAGCTATCACACCTTCTGTCTTATCAACCCTACACCACCAAAGAACTGCCGCAGGTTTAGATATCCAGGCTTGTTGCTACTTCAAGATACACAGGTGGTTTTAAACAATGTTCCAAGCTCCAGTCCGAACAATTCTATCTTAGTATCATCACAGCTGTCCCGTAAAGGCCTCAGAGATTTATTGAAAGGTCATCAATAAACAGCCTCGTGAAGACCAAGAGACATAGTAGACAGGTCTGTGAAAAACTTTCAATCAAACTTTATTTATAGAGCGCTTTTCAAACAGTCAAGTGCAATAATTCCACAAAATCTATTCATGTTAGCTACAAAGTCATAATATTGGCCCCCATTAATGTTTATCCAAATAAAAACTGTATTAGATGAGTTTAGATAATTCAGGAATGAAAGTAAACGTAACTTTCCTTCGACATTCTCTCGCACTTAAGCTAGCTGCAACATTCAAAGGTAACTATCGACTGAGTGAAGATTTTTTTGTTTCTTTTTATTTCCCCCCTAATATGAGGTCTATGTCACAAAAGGAACTGCTCTCCCCGTCGGGGAATCGGACCCCGGTCTCCCGCGTGACAGGCGGGGATACTCACCACTATACTAACGAGGAGTTGAGAACAGAATGGCTAAGGGGGACTGTCGCCAGTGCTAGATCAAGCTTCTCAAATCCTTATGCTCTGACGTTGTGATTGGATCTGGAGACCTAGCCTTTCTTCCAGGCTATCACACCTTCTGTCTGTGTGGTTGTACGCGATAAGGTTCAGCTTATGTGGGCATTGGTGTTTCAGTGGTAGAATTCTCGCCTGCCACGCGGGAGGCCCGGGTTCGATTCCCGGCCAATGCAACTTTTCTCTTTTTCAAAACTCAAATAAGGTTTTTGTTACAAAGGTTAGGCTAGCTGCAACATTCCAAAGACAGCATCGAACGAAGAAACATTACTTCCGTTTCTTTTTTTCCTCTAACCTCATATAAGGCTCAAGGTTTTCTCAAAAAAACAGAAAAGTGGACAAAAAAAGAAACGTGGTAGACTTCATATAAGGTCAAAAACCATGCTCTCCCCGTCGGGGAATCGAACCCCGGTCTCCCGCGTGACAGGCGGGGATACTCACCACTATACTAACGAGGAGTTGACAGGTACAGCCGTGAAGGGAACCACAGAATCCATTTCATCCGTTTACTTCTGGTGTTGCATGTATATACAGTTCTATTTTCCACTTTGAGAATTCACTATTTGTGAACCAAGTGGATCTGAAATTGCGTAATGAATAAACACCATCACGAAGCCAGACACAGAGATACCACACCAGTGATTTGGATCTTCATAGGAGCTGAAGGGGCATGGTGTGTTGCTTTGGTCCTCTGTTCATGCACCCAGCCTCTGCATCCCAGACGCTCTCAATGGCGTGTAGATATGCCGGCATAGTGGCTTAATCGAATGGATCTTAGTCAAAAATATTTCATCATGATCAAGAACAATGTGCCGATTTAGCACAAGTAGAAAACTTCCTCTCTGACGAACCACAAACAGAGCATTTTGTCGCTCAATATCCTGTCTCTTGGTCTCAGATTAATTAAGGAATGTAACACAGCTACAAATGCAGCAAATATTGGTGAAGGAACAAAAAATTATTACACACACCCTGACGAGGAGCTGGCAGGAATACATCTAACTGGTATTCATGGGGGCATTGGTGGTTCAGGGGTAGAATTCAGGTCTCTGTCCCGCAGTCCTCTGTCCGTTTTCAAAGCTCAAATAAAGATTTTGGTTACAAAAGTTATAGCTCTCCCCGTCGGGGAATCGAACCCCGGTCTCCCGCGTGACAGGCGGGGATACTCACCACTATACTAACGAGGAGTTGAGAACAGAATGGCTAAGGGGGACTGTCGCCAGTGCTAGATCAAGCTTCTCAAATCCTTATGCTCTGACGTTGTGATTGGATCTGGAGACCTAGCCTTTCTTCCAGGCTATCACACCTTCTGTCTGTGTGGTTGTATGCGAGTAGTGCTGCTCAATCTTGGTCACACACTGGACCTGAAACTGCACATACATGATGAACTAGTAACGCTCTGGTTTCTGTAGTGTAGTGGTCTAAAAATATGAAATGAATAACTATATATATATATATATATATATCAACTTCAGTATAAATTGTAATAAATAAAGAGACATTAAAAAACTTGACAATAATGAAGTGATATTTTATGTAACAGAAAAGATGTTTCCGCCCGGTTTCGAACCGGGGACCTTTCGCGTGTGAGGCGAACGTGATAACCACTACACTACGGAAACTGATGGCAACTTTGTGCAGCGCTTTTTAACCACCTCGGTGACTTCAGCCTGGGTGATGAAAGAGTCCAACCTTGAGTCCCCAGCCTCTGCTTCCACCAGGGAATGCCTGGCACCAGACGGTGTGCCAGAGTTGCTTCGAGGCCAACCGGTAGTCCTTCTCCATGGCCTCACCGAACTCCTCCCGAGTTTTTGCCTCTGCCATAGCCCGGGCCGCGGCAAGCTTGGCCTCACGGTACCCGTCAGCCATCTCAGGAGTCCCACAAGCCAACCACAGTCGATAGGACTTCTTCTTCAGCTTGAAGAAGGAGTCCTATCGTCCCTTACTGCCGGTGTCCACCACCGGGTTCGGGGATTGCCGCCGTGACAGGCACCGCAGACCTTACGGCCGCAGCTATGGGCAGCAGCATCGACAATAGATGCGGAGAACATGGTCCACTCGGACTCTATGTCTCCAACATCCTCCGGAATCTGGTCAAAGCCCTCCCGGAGGTGGGAGTTGAATACACCCCTGGCCGAGGGGTCCGCCAGATGTTCCCAGCTGACCCTCACTATGCGCTTGGGCCTGCCATGTCTGTCAGGCTTTCTCCTCTTCCAACAGATCCAACTCACCACCAGGTGGTGATCAGTGGACAGCTCAGCCCCTCTCTTCACCCGAGTGTCCAAAACATGCGGCCGAAGGTCTGATGACACAACAACAAAGCCGATCTTCGACCTCCTGCCTAGGGTGTCCTGGTGCCAAGTGCACTGATGGACACCCTTATGCTTGAACATGGTGTTCATTATGGACAATCCGTGACTAGCACAGAAGTCCAATAACAAAACACCACTCGTAACTGAAAGGCACTGCTGGGATTTGAACCCAGGATTTCCTGTTTACGAGACAGGTACTGTGACCAACTAAGCCACAGCGCCTACCCTTTATTTAACTGGTAGTTCTCCAAAAATTCAGGAACCATGCCAAAGGAATCGATTACCACAGGGATTAAACATAAACAGTGCCAGTGGCAATAGTTCTTCTAACATCCACGAGGCACTACTGTTTGTGGAAACAAGCTTTTTCTATTTACAAGTCTGGTGCTTTGACCTCGTGAGATACATGTCCTAGTATACCTACCATGTTTTTGTAGCAAACCGCCTTGTCATTTTATTTTTAAAAGCATACAACATTGACTTGAGCCTTGATAAGGTCAAGTGCAAAGCCAAACCAGCACAAGGTTTCTTGTAGTTGTGTTGATAACATTTAAAATCAACTTGCTTAAGAGGAATGACCAATCAGACATTTGATCACTTTTAAAAAGCCCTTTCAACAACATTAATCAAGTAGTATAACTGAAAGGCACTGCTGGGATTTGAACCCAGGATCTCCTGTTTACTAGACAGGTACTTTGACCAACTAAGCCACAGCGCCCACCCTCCATTTAACCGGTAGTTCTCCAAACATTCAGGAGACATCCCAATGACAGGCAGGAAATGGCAACGGAACTCCGCATCTCAGCCAGTTTATACTCCCAGTGACGTCAGAGCTGCGACGTCTGTTGAGCTGCGTGCGTCAAAATGTGCGACCAAAATGGATGGCCCCAACATGGTGTTAAATTTTTTTAAGCTGTTACGTGAAGTACATGACCATGTAGTTATGAAACATATTGATTCTAGTATTATATTAACATTCAACTGTGAATTAATAAAGTAATGGTAGGTAATGGTGGCTGTAAGGATTAAACTATCTTACTGAATGTCCTAACAGTTGCTATCACAAACATGCTATAGGGCAGAATACCCAAACAGATCCAGGGTAGAAAACAGAGCATACCAGAGATATCTACAGCTGCTATTTGGACACTAACCTGGTAAAATATGACATTAAAAATTCACCTTAAAGATGTTTCTGTTAAATACAAATGCACTTTTATTTTAATTGTCAATATAAACAAAACCTGACATTCTCAGCCACAATATTTCACTTCTACTCGGCATGTGTTGCAAATAGCTTTGCTTTTTTCAAGCTCATCTATGTCTACAATGTCTCTGAATCCGAAATATTGCCAGATAGGGGCTTTGAATCTGTCGGGCGTTTTTAACGCCAGGGCTTGGCTAACATTACCCGAATGGCCCGATGCCATGTTAAAACGTCTTTATGCAAACCCGCGTATGGTGTTGTTGTTCTTCTCCTTATTTTTCTTCTTCTTCCTGTATTGTGGCGGTCGGCAAACAGCTTTTTGGTGCATCACCGCCACCTACTGGAGTGGAGCCGGAAGTGCCGGCTCACACATTAAAGCTCACAGTGTAAAATGCACCTTTAAAAAAATCGATCTTTGGTTATATGAATAGATCTTTAGGAATTAATATGAGAATCGATTCAAAATTGCAAAATAGATTTTTTTAACACAGCCCTATCCACGAAGCACTACTGTATGTGGAAACAAGCATTTTCGATTTACACGTCTGGTGCTTTGACCTCGTGAGATACATCTCTTAGTATACCTACCATGTTTTTGTAGCAAACTGCCTTGTCATGTTATTTTTAAGAAGCATACAGCATTGACAAGGTCAGGTGCAAAGGTGTGACGCGTGACAGGCGGGGATACTCACCACTATACAAACGAGGAGTTGGGAAAAGAGCGGCTAAGTTAGATTGTCGCCAGTGCTAGATCAAGCTTCTCAAAGCCTTGTGCTCTGACGTTGTGATTAGGTCTGGAGACCTGGCCTTTCTTCCAGGCTATCACACCTTCTGTCTGTCTGGTTGTATGCGATAAGGTTCAGCTTATGTAGGCATTGGTGTTTCAGTGGTAGAATTCTTGAATGCCAGCATCAGGCCAGTTGCGTATAGGTGTAATTCGCTGACACATTGCAATACTGGACTGTAATTGCAGTAATAGAAATTGCAGGACCTCTGATTACAGGATTTAGCATCAGTGTTTGCTCTGAATTATACAACGAAATTGCTATAATGATTCACTATCCCTCTGAATTATTTTCTTTACGTTCAATTATGATAGGATTTTCTTGGTGTGTCTTGAAAACAGGAGTTATTACTATATTTTAAAACTTTACTAGAAAGCAGCACAATACATTTGCTTTTACCTGAAGATGTTTTGTCTTCTACACAGATACATTCTTTATGGCAGATATACGCAGAGTGTAAATTGGTTTCATATAATGTGCAATTTAATCAAACCAAGCAAATTTGTTTACATAATTTTTTTTATTTTGTTTTAAAAAAGAGAAACAACAGTTCAAATACACATAAATATAAAAAAAAATGGTATCTGAATAAAATAAATTTAATAATTTGGATGGATGGATAATTACATATGTATATAATAGGTATATAATATACAAATTATACAATATTTTAAGAAATAAAGATATAAAATAATATATTTCTATGAAAATAAAGATTAGACATTCTATATATTAGATCAATACAGAAATTAGATGTTTCTAGTAAACAAGGCAAAAACAGCTTCCAATAGAGCTTTTTAGAGCCACAGCCATGTAATTTTAAGCTTTGACAATCAAATTTCTGTGGTAGAATAAATGAAATAATAGGATAATGGAGCAAATTTGACATTAAATAAAAACAAAAAATAAATAAATAAAAACAGTGTGTGCAGAAGGATCAGCATGTCAGAAATAAACCTAAAGCATGTTTGGTTACAGCTGTACAAAAAAAAAACAAAATGTACAAAGACAAAATTTGTTATATCAAACTGGGATTAGGCAACTATTTTTCAAAAATGGAACGAATTACAGATTTCCACTGTAAACAATATGAAGACATTCTGGACTTCCCTGAAAATACCTTTAGGGTACAGATAAATAAAATACCAAAAGACTGTATCCTTGTTATAATATGTTACCTTTCTGTTAAATATTTACATATGTAAACTTCCCATATTTACAGTATATTCAGATTTTTTATTTGTATAAATATATGAACATATTGAATAATAATAAAATAGCTAAAGAAACCATCTCAATAGAACCATATGTTGTTTATTTTTTTCTCTCAGCCACCCATCTCTGTTTCTCTGCCTCATAAAAAGGAGACTCTGAAAACTCCTTCCAGCTCATCTCCTTGACCATACCCTGTGACTGATAAATGGAAAGAACCTTAGATGGACAATATATATATTTTCCTGCCACACCAGGGAACCCAGTATGAATGTGTGGGCTGTTTGGTCCCTGTTTCAGGTCTTTGTGGCAAAATCTGCAAATACGGCCTGTTGGCTGAGATTCTGTCCTTTTTCTCTTCTTTTCTGTTTTTTCCTCTACCCGTTTCTTTGTTTCCTGTAGTTCCCTTTGAAAGAATGTTGTGGTAGAAAATTCCTCAAAGGACATGTTTGGGTTGGAAAGTCCTTCGGCAACGTAAGTATCGTGTACCTTTTTTGAGCAGTAGAAATAACGAACAGGTCCCTGCTGGAAGAAGAAATGAATGGAGGAACCATCAGTCTCATAACGAGACTTTGGCTGTCCACAGGAAAGACAAGTCTTTGTCTGTCTTTTCTTCTGCTCAGGCTGTTGTTGCTGCTGCTTATTTAAAATGCCCTCCACAGTTTTTTCTAAGGAGTCCTGTGTGATAGGTGTGGACAAAGCAGGTGCAGGTGGGTTGAAGACTGCCGGCTCGATGGTGGTCACAGACACACTGGTTGACTGACTCCCTCTCAGTTAAAGTGTGCCACAGTTCCTGGATTTCCGCAAGTTTTTCTGGGCTTGTGTTTAATGAAGAGCTGGCGTTCAGGGCCTTTGCCAAGTGCTTTACATACCAGGAGATGTGATGTTTGGTTGTTGGGTGCAACAAACTGTTGGGATTCATGGGAGACCGACGAACAATGTCTGCATATTCCTTATCCACAGCCTTCAGAACCTCCTTCTCCCCATGGTGTTTATGCAGCAAGCCATCAATCACCTCTTTCATTGGTGGTGTCCAGCGTGTGTGATCCAACACAAAGACACATCCACCTGTCTCTACTGCTCTAGTCCAGGCACTTCTTGGTGAGGATCGCAGAGGCAAAGGATGTGAAGTTTCTGAAACACAATAAGATACATACAATTCATCAGTCTAATGTATACATCCCTGAATTTAATACAGAAATGTAAAGGGATAGCACTGTGTTCGCTCACCTGTTGGAGAAACCTGGAGGAATTCTGTGCGTATTTCCTGCTTTTGGAAGCCACCAGA